ACGGCACATGGGCAGCATATGAAACCATCGTGTTTGTTTGCCTCGGCCGCACGTAACAAAGAATGCACGCCGTCCATGAACTCTTGGGAGCGACGATCATCATTGTACATCCAATGCCGACTCATCTGCATTACACGACATAAATACCGTATTAAAACCTAGAACATAATTAGTTAATTATACAACATGCATACCACCACAAAAGCTATAAATTTAAAAAATCCTCGCTACAATGTAGACAATCCCAACTACCACTAAAAACACTAAAGCTAAAATGCACTTCAGCAGCACAAGGATTTCACGACCAATCCCAACTAAAACAGACAGATCCCCCATTTGTTCAACATCTTTGGGCTTCTTCGGCTGGATCACTGCGTCATTAGTCGCCATATCTGCCTGTTGTGCAAGATATTTTTGCACGAGTTCAACATACTCTTCCTCCCAGTAGAAACCTGAACATCCAGTGCCATCCCACTGAAATTAAAACAGAAAATTAGAACTTTAATCACAACCATCATGAAAATAGGTATAAACTAACCATAGTCATTAAATACGATAAAATAACTCACATTGCGATCCGGACACTTGTAGAAAATGCGACCCTTGTTGGGACCCTCCTTCTTCACTCGGTACTCCATCACAATCTTCGTCTCATCACAACACTTGCCACATGCAATGAGTGGGAGGTCCAGCCTAAGTCGCTTTGGAAACCCATGAGAGGCCGAGGACCCGGAAGCAGTTGCCATCTATTCTCTATACTCATTTTTTAAACAAATAAAATTAAAAAAACTCTAAAATTATCTATATCTCTAAACAATGAAGTGTGCTATGCATGCTACAAATGAACGGTGAATACTAGTTTTTAATAGCTACTTTAACCTTCCTTCATGTAAATATGCAAGCTTGAAGTTTAAAGGTTTCCAAAGCGTTTAACACTACTCTGCTTACCGAGAAAGTTGCTAGTGTTGTGTCGTTGGCATTTTTCATGGTCGTGGCCATGGTCATTGTGTTCTCGTCTTTTACTGCGGCAGGTAAGTAATTTACATGATATTTCCGTAAATTAACAGAAGAATGGGAGTGTACACACATAACAATCGATTATCGTTTATATTTATATATATACTACGTTTGGGTACGGTGATTGACAGACTACTACGACGATATCGGGATGTGTGAATAAATAACCATCCGTACTAGTTGACCTTGCTTACGTGATCATCTCGGCGAGCATTTCTCCACCGGACGGCACCGTACTTGGCCACGGAAGAGCTCCGATTCTACGAGGAAGGGAACACGGTCTTCCACGACCGTTGCCGCTCTCCCTCGTAGAATCAAAGCTCCTCCTTGACGTCCATTACCGCTCGGCAGAGAACATGCTCGCCGAGATGAACATGGTCCGCAAGTTCAACTAGCTACTTTAACCTTCTTTCATGTAAATATGCAAACTTGAAGTGATTTTGAGCTCAAATTGCTTACAAATGAAAAAAACCACAATAAAGAACCATATATATATAGTGAACAAAATGAGATAAGACAATGATGAAAAATGAGAGTATGAGATTGGTAAACTTTACAACTGAAGAATCGACGGATGAATCGAAGAAATCGACGGAGGAATCGAAGAATGGATGGAGGAACAATGGAGGGAGGAAGCAAGAACACTAGTGCAGTGAGCTTCAAAATGTACTGAGCTCGGGCTTGGGGAGGAAGAAGAAGACGGCCGGGATATAAAGGGGGACCTTTAGTCCCGGTCGGTGGCTCCAACCGGTACTAAAGGTAATTTTTCAACCCCCGACGCAGCCACGGCCCAGGAGTAGACCTTTACTCCTGGTTGGAGCCACTAAGCGAGAGTAAAAGTCTACCTTTAGTTCCGGTTGATGGCTTCAACCGGGACTAAAGGTCCCTGCCACCTCTGTCTGGCGTAGTAGCCGTTGGGCAGGGACCTTTAGTCCCGGTTGGATCCACCAACCAGGACTAAAGATATCTCTAGTCCCGGACGCAAAAAATGCCGGTACTAAAGTCCATTTTAGCTGAGGATCAAAGATCTGTTTTCTACTGGTGGTGACACTCTAAATTTTTACACCTTAATTTTAAACAAGGCGTATGGTAGTTTCTGAGAACTGGGATGATGATGAACAGCGAGCGAAAGAAGTTGCTGAAGTGGATTTGATGAGCTACAGGCACAGGCAGCAGCGCATTGACGCTCTGTACCTGCCTGCCGCCAGCCGATGGTCACTCAGATTGATCATATGAAACTGTCTCCAATAAGAAATTTATACCGGACATTCAAACTCAAAATAAGTAGTAAGAGATTTAAAATTAGTCTTTAATATAGTATCTATACGGAAGATCTATTTTGAGTTGCATAAGAGACACAACCTAAATATGAACATCCTCTCTCTAAAAAACCATTTATAGAAAGAATTCTTTTTAATCTTATTGTTAGAACTTTTTATCTATAACGCTACCTCATGAATGCTTGTCAGAGGGCGTCCTCAACGGAGAGGAATGTATCGCTAACGATTTGAACTCACAAAATATTAAAAAAGGGAACGTCAGAGCGCAGCTGTGAGAGAAGTTTTCGAAAGCCGTGCGAGGCTATCTATTCCTCCGTCGCTAGCTCGGTCGTCTGACACCCTTCCAGCCAATAGAACTTGAGCTATGCTGGCGATTTGGGGTCCGTTGGGGACGCCCGGATGTGGCCCTAGCTCTGGCTGGCCCCATCAGCTCCATGGACCAGGATGGATGCCTGCCCTAGAGCAGCTGCTGGCCTACTGCCCACATGGACATGGGTCACCTTCAAACTTCAATCCGTTGGCCAAAAACTAGGAGAGGTACACTGTAGAAGTGTGCACTGTGCAGCGCTCATTTATACGTGTGCAGGGCATGTCAGCACGAATGCAACCCGGCAAAGGCAGGCAGGCAGCTAGTGACGACTGCGACGACTACGTACACTGTGTGTACTGTGCTACTTACCTTCGTTTTCGTTTACTTGTCACCGAATTTTTACTGTAGTAATTTTAACCATATGTTTTTTTTCTGCAAAAGATTTTTAGATACATCAAGTTTTTACATATATGATTCTTTATTGAACATACTTCATTAGTGTTATATACATTGAAGTGTCTAAGATTTTTTTTAGAAAAAAAAACAGATGGTTAAATTTGCTATAGTAAAAAATTGCTGACAACTAAACATGCTGCTAGGGCGCAATCGATGCTGGCGGGGACACCCCGCCCCGGGCGGCCGTGCCGACCTTACCCGACGTCGTCGTCGGCCCTGCTAGCGCTTTGTTTAGAAGCCATTCAAATTCCAAGTTTTTTAGTCTCTTCATTACATTAATTTTTAGCTGCTTATATAGAGTATTAAATATAGGTAAAAAATAACTAATTACATAGTTTAGTTAAAAATCATGAGATAAATCTTTTGAGCCTAGTTGGTACATGATTGGACAATATTTATTAAATAAAACGAAAGTGATACTATTTATCGGGTTCACTTTTTTTACAAAGTGAACGAGGCCTAGGAGTAGCTCTCCAGGACGAGCGAGGAGGACCGACGCACCTCAGACCCCAAGTCTCCTCACCTCACAATTGATCACATGAACTGATGGACGACATGGGCATGATTCATGAGCGCCCTGTCCGGCAAACATGCATGCATGCATGTATGTTTCACAATTATTGGGGCCGCTGCACACGTACCTACTACTGTACTAGGGTGTACTGGGCGAGTTGAATTGGACTTGGGTGCAGACATGCAGTGTACCGCGATTAATACGATGGTGAAACTTTATATTATTTTTTAGCATCTTAACGATTTTAAATGAAAAATCTTAAAACTAGAAAGTTGTAGATCTCGTCAAGGGCTATAATTTCATATAAAGATTATCTTCATTCAAAATCATATGAAAAAAAATACAATTTTTCTAAGTTACGCCACGTCAACGAGTCAGCGCTTGGCTGACTGCCACGTGGCGCGACAGTGTGGTTTTGCTGCGCTGCCATTCATGGCTTGACCAGAAGGGTTAGTTTTAAAAAAATAGCATTTGTTACTAGAGAACTGAAAACTGAGGACGAGAACGTGATTTCTCCATGTTCGACAGATAGAGCGCCGTTTGCAGCAGGTTCTGAAACTTAGCCAAAACGGAGAGCAGTTTGCAGCATTGTCAATTAACTGAGCATCTTCAGTTACCAGTGGACCATCACATATATTCAGAAAACACGCCAACGAAAACCCATCATCATGTTAACTGAACAGCGTACCAAAACGTTTCTTCTTCTGAAATCTGAAATTTGAAATGTAAAAAGGCTAAAACCAACACTGACTGTTCTAACAAATACATCAGGCCCAATGGTCGTAAGTGCAGATGTACCGTCCATCCATCGTACCTCAATTCTTAGCACAATATGAAACTCAACAGAAGCTCAGGAGGTAAAGGGCGAGCAGCAGGGTCAATGGAAGGGATGGACGTAGAATGTTTATTGGGCTGGGACAAAGGCGCATGAAGGAGCGTCCGGTTTCCGATAAAATAAAGAACCATCATATATTCTGTACGTATAAGAAAATGAAGTTGCATACGTTAGTTCTTATAGAATTCGCGCCTGCCACAGGCCAGAAGATAAAATACACAGCTGCCCGGTAGATAGATTACATAATAATTAATTACAACAGAACATACACACAGGACTCTTCTGAAACAGTCAGAGATTCTACCGCTCTTGATTCTGAAACAAGAAACACACTTTCGTTCCCTCATGAGTCATGAGTCATGAACAAACTACTCCTACAAGTGGGCGGCGCAACCATGGAGAATCGATCATTGACTGCTCAGGTTATCCGTGCAGAGCACGTCCTTCCTGCCGGTGGTAGCCTCTCCACCCTTGCTCCCGCCGACGAGGAGCTCACCTCCGTCACGAGGGTGCCGTCCACCCGCAGCGTCATGTCGCCGATGACGCCCCCGCCACCCTTGGCGTACAGCAGCTCGAAGTAGGTCTGGTTCATGACGCCAGGGGGTCATTCGTCGCCTCCACGCTCGTCATCAGGTCCACCGCCATATCCTGCCGCACGGCCTCGTCGGTCGGGTTGAAGAAGATGACGCAGTCCTCGTCGGGCTTCGGCGTGGACGCCGGCGTCGCGCCGTCGAAGAGGTACGCGGTGACGTTGAGGAAGTACATGCGGGCGCAGCCGCTGGGGTTCTCGGCCCGGAGGTTGAGCTGCAGTGTCAGTGTGTCACCGCCTCGCTCGCCGGATGCGGAGTGGAGTACACGGCGCCGTCGACGACGGGCAGGCGCAGGGACTCACTACGAGGTACAGTAGCTTTGCCGAGTGCCCTCGGCAAACGCTTTGCCGAGTGTAACACTCGGCATACAACACACGGTATTATTTTGTCGGCAAACAGTAGTTTGTCGAGTGTTATTTATCGCGCACTCGGTAAATAGTTTGCCGAGTGTTAATAAACACTCGACAAAAATAAACTCTTGGCACAAAAATGACAACGGGATGGCATGGTGACGGCGATTTTGCCGAGTGCACGACGGAAAAACACTCGGTAAAGTTTATCCAGTTTGCCGAGTGTCACGATCAAAACACTTGACAAAGTTTGTAAACTTTGCCGAGTGTCATCTCCAAAACACTCGGTAAAGTGCTAAAGTTTGCCGAGTGTCAAGGCCAAAACACTCGGCAAAGTTTACACATTTTGCCGAGTGTCACGCCCAATACACTCGGCAAACAAGCACGCAACGGGCAGATTTTATGGTCACTTTGCCGAGTGTCCATTTGAATACATTCGGCAAAGACAAAACACTCGGCAAAAATGGTTCCCAGAATAACAGATATTGGTTTCTTCGCCGAGTGTTTTGGCTCGACACTCGATAAAGCGTCTCTTTGCCGAGTGTTACACTCGGCAAAGCAACCAAAACCCCCCCTTTTTTACTAATCTGTCCCGTATAACGGACCCCCTCTCAATTCACAATAAACCATCACAATTCACAATAAAGGTCACAAGCATAATTATATGTCACAGACATAATTGTATTTCACAGGCATAATAAACCATCATCACAATTTGCAAACCATCATCACAATTCACAGTAAACCATCATCACAAGTCACAACTAAGTCACAATAAGCCACAAAGGTAAATACAATCACTGCGGAGGCCCTTGGTACCACTGTGACAAATCCGGGTCTTGAGACTGATTATTTGACGCCGCCGATTGATTCTGCACAAAAGAGAAGAGATTGCATGTGTAAGCTGCAGATATAAAAAACTCACTGCAATTAGAAAGTATAAGTAGTGTCTTCAAAAAATACTTGCACGTAAGTATATATAGTACTAACTTGTATTTGTGCATGGGAAGCTAATAAGGAAGCTTCTAGTCTATTTGATTAAATTTTGGGAGAATTTATATTAAATTTTGTGTGCTGTGCTGCTGCCAGGAAATAACTATATATATTATTAAACTAATAAAGTGGGAGTACGTATAGAACTTAACAAACACAAGAAATTTTACCGATTTGATACTGTAGTAAGGTGTTATATGCACCTAAGGACTAGCACACCAAGTTGTCACTATAGGCACTTTTTTATGCTTTTTTTATGTGTTTCTTCTTGTTATGAACCGTTGAGCCGTACTGTATGAGAGCACCAACATGCTAGCAGATCTTAAAAACAAATGTTGAGATCCAATATATTTTGTATTTTGTTTATGCAAGTTGAAGCCTTGTTTTTTTTTTCAATTAAGCTGTATTTAAGTGCCCAATAGGCACGCCCTGCTTGCTAGCTAGTGTTAAACAAGCTGATGGTATTTAGGTATAGATTAGAACATGGGTACATATATCCCGTAACTGTAAAAGTGCAAAATTTGACATGTTCTGTACACAGACAAGTCTGCAGGCGAGAGGTCTTAGTGGTTGATCTTGTAATCTGCATTCTGAGCAGGGTGTTTGGTTCTAGCTGTCTTAATCTAGTACTTTGGTTTTTGTTCGGTTCAGCGTCGACGTGTCAAGACAAGTGAAAAGCTGGTTGAAGGTCTTCTGGGAACAAACTAATCAAATGGAAGTGTATAGAGATGGGTGCTTTTTCTGTATTGCTTCTATGAGATAAGAGATGATAGTGTCTCACAGCCTGTTCAAATTGGGGCACTAGCCACTGCACTTGCTAATGCCCCACCTGATCAGCTTATGGAGATGGACCAGACGGAGGTTCTCCACCTGCTAGAGTTCACAGATGCTCTCAAGGCAATGGTTGCTGAAACCATGGAGGTCCTACGTTCTAGCCAGCATCTCCAGCAAAGCAATGCCTCCCCCGAGCAGCAGCTGGTTAATCTGTCAAGAAAGTCTAATGCACGCTCCTAATCTCTCTCTCTCTCTCTCTGAGGTCAGCTCATAGAAATTAGAGAGGGAGTTAGAGAGAGGTAGGGACTTATAGAGAGAGAGAGAGAGAGTCAGAGAGAGGAAGCTGCGGCATCTCCTGCACGCAAGCAAAGACTTGCTTTTGGCTGGCCGGCACCACATCCACCTACGCAGTGTAGCTTCCTTGCTCAGCAGCCATGCATACTTCTATCCTATCATGTGTGTATACAGGCACTTCTACCACTAGTACTATGCTTTTGCTGCCATGCACGCCACCTCTGTACCCTAGCTTATCTCGCTAATAAACCTCTATAAAACCTTCTGTCATCTAAAGTTCTCTAAGTCAAAATATTCAATCTGCAGTATAAGGTGTCAAGTGACTCACAGGAGTAGTTGTGGGTGGCTGAGGTGGAGGGAATAGCACCGGTGGCGGTGGCAAAGCTTACCCATACTCGATGTAAAATTCTGCATGTATTGGAACATTTGGTCCATCCTCAACCGATTTTCTTCCTCTATCCTCTGCATCGTCCGTCGTTGTTCTTCCTCCATGTTCTGCCGCTCGGCCGCCATCTTCGCCTCCATCTCTGCCATCCTCGCCTCCATCTCCTCTCGTTGCTTCATTTCTGCTTCCACCCGGGCCTATAACATTTCATCCCAATGTTACAATGCAAAGCTAAAGTACGTAACAATCAACGAACGATGAATAAATAAGAAATAACCTGGAGAGCCTCCATCTGGTACTGTGTAGCGGTTGGCCGAGGATGTATCGCCGGGCTCGCGCTCGTGCTTCTTACTCGGATCTGGGAGAGAGTGGGAGTAGAGGTGGTGTCAATTGTACTGTCGCCAATCCAGTACCGGCCATGCTTCTTGTCTCCTCCCACCCTCATCACGATTTCTCCATCAAGATCCTGGGTGCTCGGATCGAACTGTGGCCCATGAACCTGCCTTGCCATCACTGTGTACTCACTGACGCGGCTGTGGATGCTGGGATCGCTGTACACCTCGGGCGGGTCCTCCGGGCTGAAGTCGATGTTTGCCATCGCCTTGCCCTTTTTGGACAAAACCCATGCCTTGAACTAGGAGCAAGGCTGGCCATCATGTGACGACGACTGCGGCAAAAATGCAAAATGATTAGAAATTATGCAGAATTGAGTGTTAGAATAAAGAAATGAATTCGTGTACCCATTTTTCCCTGTATTCGTCGAGGCTCAGGCTGCCTTGATGGTGTGATGCCCGTGGCATCAGCAAACGCCGGTCCCGGCAAGCGGTGTGCGTCTTCACCCACCCGGGCTCCAATTACTTGTCCACCATGTATTCCCAGCACTGGGAATGCTGGGCGCACCAGTACGGAGGCACCTACATGATCAAGTGTATGACATATGAAAAAATAAAATTAAGCGTAATTAATCTCATAAAAAGTAAGTATTAATGTTCTATATGTACCTGCAAGAATTGTTCCCGGGTCAGGTTCATTGTTCTTGCCTCTTCTTTTTTAACCTTCATCCGTCTGTGTTGAGCATAGTAGTCGATGATGGCCTGGACGCGCGCCTCATAGTGCATGTCCTTCACGAGCTTCTTGGCGGCTTCTTCAGTGATGGAGGCCGCCTTGGCCTCGTACCCCTCCTGGCATCTATAGAAGTCCTGCATATAGACGCTATGTATACAGTCATTACTTTAAGAATGTCTAGTGAATGTGATGTATTGAGCAATGTAGTGCGAGGAATACTTACCCACAGCTCGCCCTTCACCCGCTCCGCCTTGTTGGGGAATACCCTGCCATCACGATCAGCGGAGTCGAGGGCGGCGACGTAGTAGTCCCATGTGTAGGCCGGCTGTAGCTCTTCGCGGAACTACACTAAGCCAGGGAAGTTTAGCCTGCACAAAAGGCCAAGGGTGCCGTTGACTTTGCGGTTGTGATCACCCCCACTGACCTGAATCCAACCCCTACCCAAGTGATTAAGATAAATTATTAGTTTTCATTGTAATTTTCAACATATCAAACGAAAAAATATTGAGAACATCTAAAGTTACTTACTTTTTCCCAGAGGGTCGAACCATTAGGCGTCTCTCAAGAGGTATCGGTCGCCTTAGGAGGGTCGAGGGACCTCGCAACCAGACCTCGGGACCCACTGCCTCCTCCTCCACCCGCTCCTGCTCCTCCTGTACCTCCTCCTCGTCACTAGAGGCATGCGCGGAAGGTACCTCCTCCTCGTCACCAGAGGCGTGCGCGGAAGGTAGCTCCTCAGACGACGACGACGAGGGAGCTACAGGCGACGGGGGCCTCGCCCCTTTACCCTTCCGCTTACCCTTCCCTCCACCCTTGCCTCGACCCCTCCCTAAAGCTGACCCTAAAGCTCCGCTCTTTCCGTAAAGCGTTGCGATCTTCCTTGTACCGCCCACCATTGTTCAATCACCTGCAATTAAAAAGAGTACACCAATCAACACAGATAAACAAAACATACTTAGAAAGTTATGACAAATAATAAATAAATTAGTACAGCTCATACATGTATTAGAAATAATCATCATGATCGGGATTAGCTGGATCATAAGTCTCATCATCACTATCACGCGTGTCGATATAATCATCATGATCAGGAATGTCGTCATCACTGTCATTGCCTAAATGTAATCGCTGAAGTAATTCTAAGTCCTTCACATTGTTTGGTATAGGTAGTTTACCGTGTGGCGATACCTTGTACACAATATCCCAACCCTTAAGACGGTCGTCGGTTTGGCACGGGTATGAGAGATAATAAACTTGCGTGGCCTGTTGAGCCACAATATAGACATCGTCTCCTAGTAAGAAGGATGATTGTCG